GATTATGCTAATAGTTGGTTATTATTCTATGATATAATTAATAAAGAAATGTATATACAACAAAATTATTCATTTTGGCAATATGCACCTTATACTGCTTTAGTATTTCATCTTTTATTTATTACACATCGACCTATTCAAATGAAATATCCTCAAAAACAACTTGAAGTAAAAGAAAGAAAGAAAAAAAAGACAAAGTTTTTATTTTTAAATTAATTAAATTTTAAATTTTAAGATGCAAAATAAATTACGTACAAATACAACAACAATTGAAACAATGTTAAATGATATAATACCTAATCTTCGTCAATATCTTAATAAAGACATTATTATTCTCGATATTCTTCCATATATGTTTGAAATTCTTCAACCACGTCTTCGACAAGTAAAAACCTTTGTTTTTTTTTTGAATTTCTAATATTTTAATTTTTTAGACAAATATTGCATTATTTACTAATAAAGAAATGCGAGATATAAAAACATTAATCGATGTTATGATAACATTTAATTTATCATACATTCAACAACGAACTGCTAATGGTGAAAATGCATTTGTACTTGAACCGTATGTTTAATTTAAAAAACAATTTTTTTTTTAAATAAAATTTTTGATCTTCTTTAAGACCTGTTGACACAGTTACTTATTTTTCTGGTACACATGAAAAGCGTGGTTTATCATTTGGTATACGTCAAATGATATTTAAAGAATTAATTAAAGAACGTGTTAAACGAAATATTCGTCTTAAATCTGATAAACAAGAAATGTTAGTTTCAGTTAAACGTCAAGTTGATTTAACACCTAAACCGTTTGTATTTTTTCTCTTCTTATTGAATTTAAATTTATATTTTTATTGTATTTCTAGAAAACCATCTCATGTAGATATGATTAAATTACAACCAAAGGTCATTACTTCAAATGGAACAAATGTAAATATTTATTTATATATATATATATAACAAATTATGATAATAAATTGTTTTTGCTTTTGATTATCTAAGGTTACGAGAGATTTTTTTGCTAAATTTAAACTTGGTTCAAAAAATTCACAAACAACATCAAAATCATTTGATCAAATTGATTCAATTAATAAACCAATTGAACGAAAAGCATTAATTTCATTTGCATACAATGAAGGTTTTTCGGATGCTATACGATGTAAAATTAAAATTCAAGATCTGCTCTAATTTTTTCTTTTTTTGTGTTCGCTATGCTTGTTCTTATATGTAATGAATTCTTTTTTTTTCTTGTTCTATTAACATTGATAGTTAGATATAAGATCCTTTTTTTTTT